CAACTGGCACACAACAAGACCTCGCAAAAAGAAAAACACGAACCACCAGCTTGCCACGCAATCAAGCACCAACATCCCCGGCAAGCAAATGCTGCCGAAGCACCACTACAACTCCAAGCCCACCCGAACATCAGCCTGCCAGGAACTCAACAAAAAACTGCTACATGAACCTATACACTGCAACGGCGGTTCAACCCATCCATGTGGCGAGTTGGTCCAAGAGTCTCGCTCGTTCGTAGTTTGACCCTTCGCGAGAACTCGACTGAGCACAACCAAAACGCTGGCGGCTCAGATACAACCGAACATGCTCCCAGAATACATACAAGAATGTCAGCGCGCCGAACCAGCCCTAACTGTCAGGACATGGCCACGCAGCGCTCTGAATTGGGACTTCACCTGACACGCAGGCTGTGTCGTGATGTATCGAGACTTACTGCTAGCCCTGTTTCCGAGGCTTTCCAACCTGTCGATTACCCACGCAGCCGCCGGGGCCTTGGCTTCCTATGAGATGCATCCGCCTGCGACGCCAGCTCTGCTCTTCTCTGCAAGAGCAATAAAACCCTTGTGCAGCAGTACTGACACCCACGCAAGCTTCGAAATCTGGCCTCTACAAGTCCAGAAAGGCGTCCTGGGTCTAGGATGTCAAACCCGTACTTCGCTGTCCGAACTATAGCATGTGGCCTGACCACCGGAGGACATTAACCGAGAGAAGCACACCGAGAACGGCAATTCTGCAATGCTCCTCGAGCCGGGAGCAATCATTATTCAAGTAAAAGAATAAGCAATTAAAAGCAAACGTAAACATATCTCCCTGTTCAGACCATTACGAAGCATGCAAGGCAAACCCGCACCATCTTCGTGGACCGGGACTTCTTCGTGGGGCTTTGCGCGCCGACAATGCTTCATCCTCGCGAATCCCAGCCCGTCAACTTGACAAGGCTCGGCAGAAACAACCTAACGGCACTCATGCGGCGAGACCGCAACATGGCATCAGACTCCGCAGCACCCTTCCTGGACTACTTCTGGAGCTTACCCCGTGAGGCCTGCGGTGCACCAACTCTTGTCACAAAGGCATTCAAGCACCACTAGAGTCACGAGGTGACAAGCAATATGTGCTTTCTGACCTGACGCAGGACCAAATGACAGCCATTCAAAGAGCCGGTGTGTACGTCTACCCCGACCAGGATGAAGGCTCGGCACACAATGCATCATGCAATACACAGCAAACTTCATCCGCCCCACTGAAACAAGCAACCACGCAGCGCTACCGGACTCGTACCGCGTCGAGACCATTCAACACTACGAACCAAGCGCTCACTGCCTTGAACAAAACACTGTAACAGAGCCCGCCGTTTCCTCAGCGAAGGCATGCCATCGCCAGAGCAAATGGCAGCCACACTGTCTTCGAGTGACCCCGAAGACATCAGAGCTGACCTGGTGCGAGTAATCAACGCCGCAAGCAACAACGCTGCAGAAATCCATTGTAGCTGCATCACTGTGTCACTAATTCTCTCTCGACTCACGCCCAGAAGTAACCACCATCCACCGAAGCCGTCCGAGGCAACTTCCGGCTGGAGCAAGCCATCCAACACAAAGCCCGAGGACCACCACGGCCATCGTTGACACCAGATGCCAAAAGAAGACGAACCGGAAAGGCCAGGGTGAACACTAAATGCAGCGGACGAAACGCCTATCACACCACTTCGCACTCAAGACCACGCCTGTTACACACGCAAAAATATATGCAGATATGTATACAGGCACAGTATATATATATACATACATACATACATACATACATATGTATATATATATATACATAGATTGCTATTTCTGTGTATGTGCATAAACCTGCACAGATACATTATATATAGACAAAACACCTATGCACACATACATATCCACACACACACACACACCTATATATATATATATATATATATATATATATATATACGTATGTATGTATGTACGTAGTAAACCCGCAGATATATGTACATGCCTATATAAATATAGATATGTATGTACATATACATACATCTGTAGGACGTACATTATATATCACTGATTATACTTACACAGATACATATACATATACATATACGTATACATGTACTTACACACGTACATATGCATATCCATCTGTACACGCATTTACATCTACAGTACACATAAACATATGCATGCACTATGCGTGGGTGGAAAGGTGCCAGACACGGACGTCTTCTTAGCCCCTGGCTGGCATGCAGTCGTCCCTGACCGTTTAAGCTCGTGCGATGCTCAGTCAATCACACCGGTCAAGAAGAACAGCATGCACGCACGGACGAAACCTGCAAGACGACTCTACCAAGGTGCAGAGTCGGCAGAGACCAGAAGTCCAAGCTCTTCAGCGTAGACTGGGGCATGAAGAAGAAGAAACCACCGAGGCTGGCTGATTAGCCGCTTCCCAGACCGATGGATGAGATGTCCACTGCAGTTACCTGAAGCGAGTCTTGCGTCTTAGTCTGGCATTCGCAACTTGCAAACAGCCCAGCAGGCTGCATCTCTGGAACCCTCCCGCAGCGTCTCTCCCCTGCCATCTCGGTGTAATCTTCGGACGAGAATGCGGCAAACTTGTTTATTCTGCCAGAAAGCTGGGTCAGAGCAGATCTGCAACACAGGCGCTCAGCCTGTATTGGTTATGCGAGATAACCGCCAGCATCTGTAACTAATGTGCAGCTACATCCAGATGAGTGACCACGGCATCACGTAAAGTACATCACCAGCCCCTTCCTAAGAAATCTACGCCCATCAGGTTCTGGAACACTCCGGCACCCAGCAAATAGCCTATGCCAGAATGTCGCTCCTGTTCACGCCGACCGACTTCATCCCTCTGCCGGCCGGGTCTAGCAGTGCACCAACCACAGATGAAACACCCCGAACCAACCGTCAGTCCATGAAGCATGCTCAAAAACCCTGCACCAAAACGTCGCCAAAGGCTTACACAGAAGTCTGGGTCGTACCTGATGCACACAACACAGCCGGCGACTGCGTCACTGACGGGCACTCCGAAGTCGGCATCAAGCTCGCAGAGGACAAAGCCCCGTCGTCATGAGAGCCCTTACTTGCAAGTTTTAGTGCCTCCCACCTTACCCGCTCTAGAACACTACACTAGCTGTCCTACACAATCGTGCAGGACTTTGGATTACTCTGGAATGCACAATTCGCGGACAACGGTCGCGTACTCTACAATGCTTGCCAATTTCGCTGCCTTCTTCGAGAGACCCTCCACGAACAAGTCTTGCTCGGCAAAGGCATGCTGACGATCACTGAAGACCCTCTCCACAAATCCAGGCAACAAAGGATTTTCAGCATATCGGTTCTCCGTTGTCTGTCCAAGATCCCCAAAGCTCGGAAAATTGTCAACAGAGTATCGACCACCCAAGGCTCCGGCTGCGCGAGTCGTGCAGGAAACTATCCTGGCACGAAAACCATGGCAGACCACTCGCCGACCAGGCACACTACGGACTGGACCTGGTCAAGGTTGGCTTCGCCTGAGATTTCAAGTAAGGCGACTGCTGCATAACACCAAATGCCCAGGACACTGCGGCCCAGCTGGCTGCACCACGGCTAACGCCGCAAGTGCTAGTTGCACTGCAAATGCGGGCCTGCCTCTGCAAAGACGCAGAGGCATGCTCTCACCCTCTACAACATATCGTCATCACCCGGCCAGCAGCCAGAAAGAATACCTAAACATAGAGTCCCGTCTCGATGGACACTGGCCCACAACCAGCGGGCTCGGCCTTCCCTGTTTTCTAGCACTCATTGCAGTTGAAATGCTCAGCATGACGGGAGCTGTCTCGGCAGCACCACACGAGAGGTCCGCTTCTCCAAAAAGAGATTGTTGCGGGACATGATCAAGAAGTGCAAAGGAGCCTTGGAGGCCCGGGCAAATGAGCAATATTTGCGGGTACCGTCACTTACAGATAGCGCTTGCAAAAGGCTGAAATCCTCGCGACCTCCTTCGGCCTACCACAAAGCCTACCAACGCCAAGACCAACCGCAGCCAACTGCAAGGCCGCATGTGACACACCAGCAAAGTACACGGTCTTAATTGCCCAAGTCTGGATAAAGCATCGGCTCTCCGCTACAAACCATACCGTAAAACACGCAAGCGAGAACACGAGTCCAGCAGGCAGTGATCCCTCCGAAACCTGGCACGCCAGTGCAGAACATCGATGCCTGGCCTTCTATGCGAGTACCACAGCACAAGATCCAAGTAGTCATGCAGGACTCATCCTGCCTCACTAGCCATGATTTGCAGCCAGGCCACACGATTTATCATACCCGCTCATGCACTAGCAACAAACCGGACCTGCTTGAAAGGAGGGCCGTATCGAAGACCCGACACCAGTGACGGACCTCCTGAGAACCGAGCCAGAAGCCATGCCGTGGAAGCTGCAGAAAGGCAGCGCGGGAACAATCTCAGGGTGAAAGAGCTCGCACACCCATGCCCATGCGAACAACCCTGGCACTCTTGTCGCATTCTTACCACCCGGAAAAGCCCAGGCACGAAAGACGCATTACTACGCGGTCGCCGACGCTTCAACGGGCGCATCACGCAGCACAACAACAAACCACAGCTGCCTCTACCTGGCCCAGCAGCCACTGCCTTCGCGCTCAGTGACATGTGGCACACACTCAAGGTGGGATATGGCCAGTGGTACCTCACGCGGTCAACATGAACCGCCCATGATGAACAGTGCTTCGCTGCAGAAAATGAATACGCACACAAACACACATACATGTAAAAAGATCGATGTCTGAAGGCAAAAGAGTGCCACATCATCATCGCCGGCCACGTCTGGACAGGTCGTTTCGTGGTATGGCGCTATCCTGTAATGCTGGCTGCCGACATGGAAGTCTGGACAGCGACACCCGGTAACCGTCATTACCAAAACCTTTTTCGTTTTCGCTATAACTTTGAAAACTTACAATGTAGCAAGTCCGTCGTCCCTCAGGAAACCACTTCCAGACAATGCCAAATACATTCCCGACAACTGCGTCATCTGCAGCCGAGAGTGCGGAGGCACCACCAGAAAGAAAAGCGTGCCGGTGACTACACCGTCGCCACTACCAGTACTATAAGCACACTCACACATCACACCGCAGTGTCCCGTTGCAACCGTGCGGTTGTGCTGCCAGGCGTCGTCAAGTTAGGAGACGGAGACTACGACGGGGATTTTATCCAGATATCAGCTTGGGTCGAATTACTGGAGTTCATGGAAAATACTCCCTCAGAGACGGACTTGCCAGCCCTCCGGAATCTTGCCAGCAACACATGCCTTCCGACTTTCCGTGAAAAATGCCACTACCCGTGTTCGGCCGCACTCAGGCAAGCCCGCGAGAAGATCCTCACATCCCTGCCGAAAAGGACGCCGTCTCCCCTCACTTCCATAGGCAGCTACAGGCACTTCTGCTCGACAATAGAAACAAAACCAATCCGAGGTCTAGCATGCGCAATGGCAGAACGCGCGCAAGACGCAGCATACAAGTCCTTGGACCCTGCCGGGGACGGCTCACTCCTTTTAGCAGCAAAGCTCGCTCAAGTGGCCCACATGGCGTACGATGTACCGAAGAAATACGACGCAGCACAAGTGCTAGAATTGGGCAGACAACTTCTTTCCGATGCCGGCATTGGCTGCCAAGCCCCTCGCTGCACCTCCGGTATTGTGGAAATGCTACAGCTGGAGCGCGTAAACCCAATCCCTTTGCTGCCATCCCCTGCAGACTTTCCTGGCAGACAAGCTATAGCTGGCATGGTTTGGTACCCCTACCAGGAAGTGAAACTGTCAGCAAGAGCGGGAGCTGTACTTAGGCGATGCCTACTCCAACAGAAGCCGGTCGACGACTTGGATATTGTCGCAAAGCGTGTCCTCCTCGAAGCAATAGGAGGGATCATCGCACATCGGCTGGCACACACAGCCGGCCCCATGTTGGAGCACGTGAAAGCAGGAAACGCGGAGCCCTTGATTGCTGCCGCATCATGCGAACGACGGCTGAAAGCAATCACCACCTGGTCGTACCTCCTGGACTGCCAGCTGAGGTACTGAAAACGAAGTCTGCCCGACAAGCGCACTGACAGCTGCACGTCCCCCAGCTCACTGTACATGCTGTTTCCACAGGGCAAATCCATGAACCACACCGTCGACCCAAACGAGTTCGGCAACACCACTACCTGCCGACGCCGAACTAGTCAAGGAAAAATAAGGACTCGGCATTGTCAGTGTATATTTGCGTCAAGAACAGACACCAATTCAGAGACTAACAACTACGGAAACCCTGCTCGAAAGTCTCCCAGCGACCATCCGTGCTGTAGCGCATTGCTCAAAACAAAACAAGAACAGCCTGACTCCACCCTCGACCCTCCCGATGGCTTCAACGTGCCACCTGGTCTCTGTGCTCATGGCGACATCTGGCGAAAAGCTGACTGAGCTGATAGTATCGGAAGAAAGCCACACAGTCCGACAGATCAAAGTGCACCTCGAGCAGCAGCTCGGATTCCCGCGCTACCAACAACGATTGCTCGTTCGCACGCCAAACCACGAACTCCCAGAAGCGTACGTCCTGCACGCCGGCATCAAACAGATTTCCGTCGTACTAATCCCCTACATCACGGTGTCTGAAGAGCAAGAAACCGAGATGCTGAACGCAATCTACCACAGCTCGGCGAACGCCGTCGAGACCATCCTCCGACGACCCCAGCATCCAGACTCGTCCGCAGGGGAACTATGTCCATGTTGCGGCACGGACCAGCTAACAGCGCTGGAACTAGCAGCGAGGCGCAACAAGCCAGACATCGTGAAAATACTGCTGGAAGCCAGAGCAGACGTTACACGACGCGGCAACTGTTTGTCCTTGCACGAAGCAGCCGCGAACAACGGCACCGACGTGGCAAAGCTCCTGCTACAGGCCGAAGCAGATGCGAACCTGAAGTGCCCAACAACAAGCAGCACGCCGCTCCTCGAAGCCACCGGCAGGTACCACTGGCAAGTCATGCAGACGCTCCTGAACGCAAGAGCCCAGCCAAACACGGCCGGCCCAGTCAACCGCACGCCCCTGCACTACGCCTGCACCCAGGCCGACGTACGGCCGGTACTGACGCTCATGCAGCACAACGCGAGCTTGGACGCCATCGATGACTGCGGCTACACACCTCTGACAGTAGCATTCTGGTCGGGACACGTGCAGATGCTCCAGGACTTAAGAAGCACGTTCGAGACGTCTCTGCTAGACTACAACGAATCAAACGAATCCGAAGACGCTTCCAACTCCGACCACGACGACGAGGACGAAACAGAGCCCGAGAACCTAGACGCCAAGATCGACAAGATACACGCAAGGGATCCACCACGTAACTGACGAACCTCAGGCCCAGAACACGAGGAAAGCACCCCGGGACAAGAGCAAGCTCCGAGCTTGGCTCACAGGAAAAATTAAAGAAGGATCCAGCACTTCCGCCTGTGAGTACAGCATTGACGCATGTCATCAACCCACAGTCGAGATGGGACACAACTGAACGAGGGAAGAAGAAAAGGCGCGACGGCCCTTCACCGCATGAAGCCAGCTGCAATGCCTGCTCGAAAGTCTCCCAACGACACGGCATGCAAGCTTCGCCCGCTCGCACATCACCAGAAGCAACTCATGGCTCCAGAGACTCCGAGTAGGTAGAATCGGGTCCATTGACCTGAGAGCCAGCCGGGGCGCCTAGCATACCTCGACCGATCCGTCATGCTGCGGGTTCGGAGCTGTGGCGGCCAGACAATCTGCGCCATCGACCCCGCCACCCGCACGAAGAAACGCGACCTCATCCTCGACGACCTAGCACGCACCGTGAGCATCCATCTACGCACCCCAGCAGACCGCATCAGCATTCACTACGCCGATGGGCGAGGGCCCCTGAGCCCAACCACGACATGGGCCGACTGCACGGACCTCACCGTACTAGGAGATATGGAACTACTCGCCGTCGCTCGACATTTCCAAGCAGGCGGAGACGAGAAGCTAGCCGTCGCCATAGAACTGGAAAGGCACGCCGACGTCTGCAGTCTGCTGGACAGCCTCGTGGATCCCAACATTGCCATCGCCGAATGCAAAGACAGCCAGCCCTGCAGTCCCCTGTGCTTTGCGGCGTACACCAACTTCGAGCATGTGCAGATTGCGGAGACGCTCGTCGCAGCCCAGGCCAATGTCGACGGCAAACACTTCGCCATCAGCCCTCTGCTGGCAGCATGCGAAAGTCGAAACACGAGAATGGCCACCTTCCTCATCCGAGCCCGGGCAGACGTGGATCGACAATCGTGGACCATGGAATCCCCACTGCTTGTTGCAGTGTCAATGAATTCGGCACCGCTAGTACGCCTACTCCTTCGACATCGTGCAAGCATCAATCAACAGGATCGCTACCAGCGCGGTCCCATGGAGCGCGCCTTTGAGCACAGGGCACCACGAGCAGCAACATGCCTCCTACGTGCAAACGCGAAGGTGCACGCCTACGTGGGCGCCAACAGCCTGCTCCACCAAGCCGCAAGGAGGGGCAGCACCACGTGGGTCAAACTGCTCGCCAGAGCGGGTTTGGCGCTTCGGAGCCAGGACGAACGAGGATGCCTACCAGTAGAAGTACGGCAGCGTTTGCCCACCTTCCAACAACGCTACCGGCTAAAGCGAAGCCTCTGCATCACGGCAACAGCCGATGGCGCCACTGCAGCAGCGAGTCGGCGCGGAGCCGCATGCGACTAAGACAAAAGCCGTCGTCATGCACGACATCCTGCGTGTACAGCGCCCGCCAACCAAAGCCGGAACTTACAAAAAGAAGCGAAGCCAGCCAGCCTCAAACCGGCCGACCTCTCACAAGACAAGCAACAAGAAGCAGCCTCAAGCCTCAGATTACATGCCCCCGCCAAAAGAGCCCTTCCTATAGCGCACCACTGCCAGACTCCTGCTCGAACAACCCATCCTACACGGCAGATCCCACCGTGAGGTCCGTCAGCGAGCCAGACCCTTCAGACTCCAGCAGCAGAAAACACAAAGCAAAAACACAGTTCACGCCTTCCGCCCCAGCAGGTGCAGACGTCATACAGCCCCCGAGCCACCGACGATAGGTCGACATGACAAACGACGACAGACAGGCGAGATCGCACACAAAACTCCAGACACGACACCGTCGCTCCAAGCACATGACACCAAAACACCAGGCAACCGGCTGGGAGATCGAGACCTCCAGCTAGAACTACCTGGCCACGAGGTGCCGCCTGACACTTGTGACGCCGACACCCGAGCCAGCGCCCAAGACCCACAACACCGCAAGCACATGCATACACAGCTCACAGCCAATCACAAAGGCCCCTGCAGCCGAGGAAGCTGGCTGTGTTTGTACGCATGCATTTTATGTAGGAAACCCAACTAGAAAAGCTTTCCAGGAGCTGGCAATCCTTATCCACGTCCATTTAATGAAGACAACCCACCTGAACCGGGCCTTCCGGGAGCTGGCAATCCTTGTCCACGTGCATTTCATGAACGAACACCACCTGGAGAAGCCTTCCGAGACCAGGCAGCTCCTATCCATGTGCATTTTCTGAAGGAGAACCACTAGACAAGTCTGCCGGAAGCTGGCAGTCGTTGTCCTCGCGCAGCTTATGGAGAGAGAACCACCTGGAGAAAGCTGCCAAGAGCTAGCAGTCCTTATCCACGTGCATTTTAGAAAGGAAACCACGTGGAGAAGCCTTCCGAGAGCTGGCAGTCCATATTTACATTCATTTTATGAAAGAAAACCACCTACAGAAGCCTTCCGCGAGCTGACGAACCTTATTCACGTGCATTTCATGAAGGAAAGAAAGCACCTGAAGAAGCCTCCCAACAGCTAGCTGTCTTTATCCACGTACATTCTATAAAAGAAAACCACGTGGAGAAGCCTTCCGGCAGCTGGCAGTCCTTATCCACGTGCATTTCATAAAGGACAACCACTTGAAAAAGCCTTCCAAAAGCTAGCAGTCCTTATCCAGGTGCAGCTTATGAAGGAAAACCGCCTGGAGAGGCTTTTCGGGAGCTGGACATCCTTATCCACGTGCATTTCTGTTGGAAACCCACCTGCAGAAGCAGTTCGCGAGCTGGAGATCCTTATCCACGTGCATTTCATGAGGAAAAACCACCTGGAGGGGCAGTTCGCGAGCTGAATATCCTTATCCACGTGCATTTTGTGCATTTTATGAAGGACAACCACCTGGAGAGGCTTTTCGCGAGCTCGAAATTGAAGGAAGACCACCTGAAGAAGCTTTTCACGAGCTGGAAATCTTGATCCACGTGCACTTTATGAAGGCAAACCACCTGGAGATGCTTTTCGCGAGCCGGAAATCCTTATCCACATGCACTTTATGAGGGAAAACCACCTGGAATCCTTGTCCACGTGCATTTTATGAAGGAGAACCACCTGGAATCCCTATTCACTTGCATTTTGTGAAGGAAAGCCACTTGGAATCCTTATCCACGTGCACTTTATGAAGGAAAACCACCTGGAATCCTTATCCACGTGCATTTTATGAAGGAAAACCACCTGGAATCCTTATCCACGTGCACTTTATGAAGGAACACCACATGATCCTTATCCACGTGCATTTTATGAAGGAAAACCACCTGGAACCCTTATTCACGTGCATTTTATGAAGGAAAACCACCTGGAATCCCTATCCACATGCATTTTATGAAGGAAAACCACCTGGAATCCTTATCCACGTGCATTTTATGAAGGGAAACCACATGGAATCCTTATTCACGTGCATTTTATGAAGGAAAACCACCTGGAATCCTTATCCACGTGCATTTTATGAAACAAAACCACCTGGAATCCTTATCCACGTGCATTTTATGAAGGAGAACCACCTGGAATCCTTACCCACGTGCATTTTATGAAGGAAACCACCTGGAATCCTTGTCCACGTGTATTTTATGAAGGAAAACCACCTGGAATCCTTATCCAGGTGCAGTTTATCAAGGAAAACCACCTGGAATCCTTATCCACGTGCATTTTACCAAGAAAAACCACCTGGAATCCTTATCC